ATTTTTATGTTTTGCTTTAAACTGTATTACCAGTCGCTCTTCTACTCAACGATCCTAAATCGCTTGCGTAGTTGGCTACAATCCCTAATATATATAGTGAATATATTTCTGAGCTTTACACCGGACATTTACTTTCTGAGAACTTCATATACAATTTAGACTTGCTTATGTTGACAAACCTTCATGGTTTTTTATGCTACTAAGACTAATTTTTACTATTTTCGACTTAATTAAAAAATATTTAAATGTTAACCTGCGATATAAGGATATATTTACCTCACGTTAATAAGCCAAATTTTTACGTAGCCACATTTTTACTACCAAAATATTGGTAATTTATTGTGATGATACCATTTGTGACGCCCTTGTTATGCATCAAGCAAAAGCTTATGGATAACTGGCTCTGTTCTTTTTTGGTTTTTTAACTGCTTGCGCTGAATTTAACAGCTGCTGCTGATTTGTGTAAAATATGTGTTTACCCACATGTCGGCTTCAATTATTCGACTAATATTAGCCCTGAGACCCGTGGCCTAAATAATAGGATCCAGCACTCATTTTATAAATAAATGTGATTCACCCTTAAGTTAGTATGAATTGAATTTAACCAAATGAAGTATTTTTTTATTATTATAATGGCTTTTAGATAACACTAGTGCTTTTACACTAACCATTAGCTTATTATTGACTATTTATTCTCATTTTGTAAATACACTCACCAATAATTCCTATGATTACCTTTTGAAGATATGCTTCTGGAAGATCTAGACTACCCACACTTGTTACCCGCTGACGTCTGCTTCAGTGAGCAGGACGACAGTGACCACGTGGATGAGAGTGATGAAGAAGCTGGTGTGATAATCATGGCTGATTCAGAGATGGCTGGTGACGCGGCTAGTCGAAGTCGGCTACAAAAAAAAAAGTTGATCAAAGCAATGTCTGTTGGGGTGAGTCTAAGTAGGCAATGCTATTGTCTTGTTATTTTATTAGTTTTAATTACGTCTGTCCCTATAGGTAGGGCAAATAGTCCCTTGTAATGTTGGTAGTGACACTAAAATAATGCCATAAACTTTATCTAAATTTTATGAAGATGGCTCTAATGTGAATTTATTACGTTTTGTTCTTCCCGATCACCATTGTCCATTTGGACGTTGGGCTGCTATCTAAAGGGCATTCTATCTCATAAACTTCTAAGGGATTGGTGCTCGTTGACATTCTTAATTACCTAACCTGGAGTTTCAAATGATAGGAAATTATTTATTTTTAAAATTTTTATCTAAATACTTTACGATGATGCATCTCTTCATTCTATCTAGTAGATAGTTCATGTCACATGTGGTTTAAGGCCGGCCTTATGCTTCTCTTTATTCAATTGATGCTTGTTATTTTGAATAGATCCTTCATTGTTGGTTCTAATTATTTTTTCCTGTTCATATTATTTATTACATCTTTTAATTTTATCCATATATTATCAATTACTTTTATCATTAGCTTCTTGATAATCTGCTAGATTGGCAACATTTCCACAAATATTTTGATTATCCACGATTAATATATTTATATAAACGCTTTCGACTATATTTGTATTCATTGTAAGTAGATCTAACAACTATTAGTAGATATGAAAATTAATTGGGTTTCGAAGAATATCTTGAGATCAACGCACATATCGTAGATATGAAGACCAAGATAGTTTTTCCTTCAGTTTGGTCTTGATCTCCTTCAGCTTTATAGTATTGGTTTAATCTCCTTTTCGCAACTTGGTCGGAGTGTCAAAGAAACCTAGTCCTGTATCCTCTGCCATAGTATTTGTGGTTTACACCTTCAGACCATTGACTTGATCCATTCCCAAATGTTTCTACGGTATCGCCAATGAGAGGTGTCATCGTTAGTACAGAGTTCCAACTTATCAAAGATGCAAGTGATCAATTTTTTTTTCAACTGTAATGAAATCACCCCTCGCTCCTATTTTTTGTTCTACCTTCTTGGGCTGCATCTCATTCTCTCAACCCCACTTCATATGGTCCATCTATCTATTCACACGATTTTTTACTCTCGTTTCCTCCAATGTTGCATAAGAGTGCACATCTACAAATGGGTTTAGTGAAGCGTAATTATCACCACCATCGGTACTAGGTGCCGTTTGCAGAATTATTGACTTGGATTCAGCATCCTCTTCAACCGCGCTTGTCAATCGGTCGCTGATAGATATCAAAATCACTGTCTGATTGTCTGAAATCTGCTCACCATGTTCAAAGATTTAGAACACATGGTACCAATGTCTATGCCCACGCCAATGCATGGGAATCTTCCTCTCCCTAGGGTTCAAACCCATGACTCGATTATCGTCTTTCTTATCCTTACCCACATTATATCCTAGTATTTGGGGCCCTGTTTCCGGCTTAAGTCAACCGCTGGTATTCAAATGCACCACTTCCCTTTTTCCCCATAAATCGTGAAAAGCATACTCCTCTCGTATGTTAAGTTGCGACTTCTATCTAATCATTTGGGACTAGGATGTTCATTTGCATGCTGGCTGGTATCTCCCGGGGTCAATTATGTCACCATTCACCTTTCGTCAAGGCACATACACCAAAAATACACCCAAGCACACACACTGGTGACCTATATCTAAGCCACCTATTGCCTTAGCCCTTAGCTTCCTAACTCACAGGGGGATCCCAGTGGGTAAATTTTTTCGGCCGATTCTGAATTTGACTTCTCTCACTGCAATCTCTCTCTTGAATTCCCTTTGTCCCGCATGATCATCTACCTTGTGGTGTCTCTTCCTGTTGTTGAATGGTCAAAACGTCTTCTTTATGATGCCTTCGCTAAATCTCAAAAGTCTGCTTAGGCAGTATGCGAAATTATCGCAGACTTGTTCCTCCTATAATCTCGTGTTCATCGACTTGCTTTAAAAGAGGATGCTTACCGCTTCCCTGATAAACATAATTCACTCTTCTCCGTCATTCCCGAACTTATAGAATTCTTATAGATTACATATTTCGCACTTAAACTCTCTTAGTCATCTGTGGTAGATATTTATAAGAAGACTGTTAATCACTCAGCATATACCTGGTCCTTTAAAAGACCATAATTATTTGGTTGTTCGATATATGCCTATCGCACAAATAGATAGAAAAATAGAGCAATTACTGATGGCGAAGAATATCATGTCGCATCAAAGGTCCCTAAGTACTACTGACTATCCAGGTTTAACTCATGTTGTCAGGACCATTTGTTTGAATGCATCTTGTCCGAAGTCCTCTGCCATATTAGCTATCATAATTTCTAGCGTCAAAACATGGTCTTGGTATATTCCAAATCATTTCGACGGCACCATCAGTGAGTCTTTCCGTTCTCAGCACCAAGCTACAACTCGTCAGACAAGTTAACTCCATACTTTGTACCACTTTATTCTCTCTGGCGAGTTGCAGCTTGGTGTTGAGAATGATATTACTCGCGATACCGGCGGTGTACCGAGTCCATGGTCCGACTAGAAATTATCA